ACACACAGACACACACAGCATCCTCACACACACACACACACACACACACACATTAGGGCTGTCAGTTTAACGCGTTAACTTAATTAATTAGTTATCAAAAAATAATGCGATTAAAATATTTTATCACAGTTAAAGCCCCCGCCCCCTGACCTGTACGTCATCTTACAATTCATACAGTTGACTGCTGACAAATATGATGCAGTTATGGCCTAATATTCAACATATTGGGGCAAAAATGCTCCTGTATGAGTACTCAAACCTGAATGACTTACTTTCTTTTGTGAACATAAAAGAAGGTATTTTGAAGACTGTTGGTAAAAAGCTGTTTTGGTTACCAATGACCTCCATTGCATAAATGAAAAAAATAAATAAATAAACTTTTGAAATGTTTCTCAAATTATCTTATTTTATGTTCCATAGTTTATGTTAGCCATTGTAGCCCAAACATTTATGTGTAATAAATTTTATGTTGAATCCAATAAAATATTTATTCCTAAAGCTACTATTTGAAATGTCTACGCAATACTACGTAATACCAAAAAAAAAAAAAAAAAAAAAAAAAAAATTGAAAGTTTGAGTTTGCAAGAGTGCAATTCTTAAAAACAATAAGGCTGTGAAAGTAACTAGGGAGTATGTGAGTTTGTTAAACACAGACCGTAACCAAAAACCAATTAAAAAAACGTATTGACTTCAGAAGTGCTAAAATGCTAAATCCCTTCAAATGATTACATCATCAAAAAATACTGTATGCAATCTCTGCAGCACTCTATAATAACAAATATGCATAATCACAAAAAATGTCTGTATGATGCATAAGTACATAGACAATTATTTTTATTATTATTATTATTATTATATGCATTTTGCATAAGGGTATTTAAACTGTGTGTGTGTGTGTGTGTGTGTGTGTGTGTGTGTACCTGGTACAGTTGACTGCTGACAAATATGATGCAGTTATGGCCTAATATTCAACATATTGGGGCAAAAATGCTCCTGTATGAGTTTTTGTCTCACATTTATATCACATGATAAGCGATATCACACAAGCTTAATATTATGTTATATTTTAAACACAATATTGTCTGTTGTGTGTGTTAATTTAAATAAGGCTGAAATAAAGTATAAATATTAGATTAAAAAAAAAGTTAACTAAATGAAAATTCTAAATTACTAACTGGAAATTAATACTGAAACTGAGAGGGAAAAAAAAACAGTAATTAAATAATTTAAAAAGAGCTGAAACTAATAAAATGACAATTTGGACAATTTGGAATGTGCGACAGATCATCAGTTTATGTTCCCGTTTATATATAATGGCATAATAGAAGACTGCTTAACTGTAATATACAATCTGAACACGTTTACTAATTGTGGATGAACATGCATTGCTGCTGTTTCCAGATACAGCCAGTGCAGAGAAGAACAGACTGGAGGAAAAACAACGAACGGCTCGGAAACATCACTCCAAATCAGACGAGGAATGGAAAATAAGGTTTGACAAGAGTTAATAAACACCCAACAACAAAGCATATACTGATGGGTAAAAGTACATAACTCAGGGGTCTTCTTTGTTCTGAAAGGACTGTATAAGAAGACTTAGTTTTAGATTCAGTTATGTAGGTAAAGCAATGAAATTTCATTAGTTTTAGACGTGTGGAGATTCCACAGCATTTGTTACAATAACATCCCAGACAGCAACATAGTGTTGGCCCAGATTCGGCCCACATATGGCCCGTGTGAAATCCCTGCGGGCCAGATGTGGGCCGGATCTGGGCCGACACTGCATGCTGTCTGGGATCACACACGTTACAATATAGCACTTATTTTTACAGTCCTGTTCCACATGTACATACTGTGTACTTATTACAGTGATTACAATCACTTGGTAATAAATGGGTACTTACACATGAAGTCACTTTATATTACGCTTTACTTTCTTAGGTAGGTACACTGCAAGTACACATACTGTAAAATAAAGTGCAGTGGTGTGAGTAAAGCCAGAATTTGGATACACAATGCATTTATTCATTAAACACTGTGATGATGATTTGGGTCTTTATCAGCATTTATTGGTTTGTCTGCGTGTAAATTTATTTTGAGGATGGACAGACATGATTGCATTGATCTTAACTTTAATGTCAAACTCTTGTTCACATGCAGGTGGTTTCATCAGGGGCCAAACCCTTACACCGGAGCCCCAGACTGGCTTTACACCGGCGGCTACTGGGACAGAAACTACTCACACCTGCCTGACATATACTGACCTCAAACTACTGCAAACATCTGGAGGAACGGAGCGTCCTGCTGCTCGGGAAATGCAACTGAGTCTATATTATACTGTTTATATAAACGAGTGTCCGTTTTGGTGCTACGCCATGATTATGATGACACAGTTAAAGTCATCGTAACGTACGGTTTATCTTTTAGCCCATTCAAGTGTAGTATTAATTTATGTAAGACATATTCAAATCTGACAATAGATATGTGAGATAATGTGTGTAACGTCATAAGAATTTGTTGAAAACATTTGTAACATTCGGAAACTTTTAAACAACTAATATGGATTATTTTCATACAACTAGATATAGAACATATAGAGTGTTTTTCTGACAACTAATTTGAATAGATTAGAGTCTACATTACAAGAAAGAATGATTCACATCCAGTCAAATGTGCCTGGATGAAACATAGATATCCTGAAAACAAATATGCTGAAAATATGAAGAGTTCATATGCAAAAACCTGTAAGTCCATCTGCGACATTTGAGTCCTGTGTTTATTTTATTTTGTCCATTAAAAAGCTGCACCCTGGAAAATGCACATCATCATGTAAACACTATATTTTCCACATAACTTTTTACTGTTGCTAAATAAAAGGCTTTCTGAAAATGAAGATTTTTTTGTGTTTAAATGTAAATGATACTGTATGTATAACTCTTATGAAAGCATGCCTGGTCCTATTTCACCCTTTTGAGAAATCACATTTTGCATTTAAAAAAGCTGGACTATGAAGAGACACGACAGTAAAGCTCTGTAGTGCCTGGGTGACCACAATTTGGATCGCACCACTTGGGGTTCATAAATCATCCCTGATGAATCAATCTGTAACATGAAAAGCAAAGGACTCTCCAATGGTCTGGCCAGATTGACTGCAATCCTTTGGAAAAGACAGATGCTGGTACAGTAGAGTATATGTGTTCATCAGCATACATCGATGTTTTGTTCATCATGGGGTTTCAATGTCACATCAGCCTCTTGTAATTGGGCAAGATTATCAGGTACCTTTAATCCCAGGACCTTCAGATCCTCAGGAGACACAGCAGATACAGAGGAACCTAAATAGAGATGGAGAACCATGCTGTAGCCTGAGAAACAAAGTATCCGAGCGGAGCCGGGGAATTGTTACTGACAGCATTCATGTCAAAGGTTCACTGTATTTCCTTATACAACATTTAATACTATTATTCTCAGACTTTAAGACCTTTTCCTTGTGCATACAAACATGGTTGCTCAAACGCTTTCAGTGGCTTCACCTACTCAGCAACCCGTCATGTGCATGTAGAAATAAGTCTCTTTTTTCCCTCAGAGCGGGACATTTTTATATTAAATGCACCAGTTCTTTTCTTGCATGATTGCTGGAGCTGAGTGATTACAGATCGCTTGCTCTGCGAGACTCCTCAGAGAGTTTTTAAATATACTTTTATATTGCAATAATTTTATATTCAATCTCAAAATTAATGTAGAAAAAACAAAGACAGTATATTTGTAATATTTGTTTAATGGCATCTTTTTTATGACTGAAGGCGAGTATCACTGATACCAATACTACTGATGTCTCTAGGAAATTGTTCCTAATATTTAACCACTGACTATAGCAGTTTAACATTACAGTATAATTGAGAGCTATCAATTATAACATTTACTAGACTTAAAAAAAAAAAAAGACTTCTCATTTAAGTGAACTTGAAACAATCTTCAGATAAACCCATTATAATAAATGTCATATTTACTTGTGCCCTTCAGCAATTATGAAATACACAGAAATGTAATAATGTTATCACACTTAATTCTAAATTAAATATAGATGAATCTATATAGATGATATTAGGTTATTTGGCTGCTATTACTTTAAGAGCTGCCACTGCTAAATGTGACGCGGGTCTGACACGCATGCTCGTCGTTTCATTCGCGCTTTAATATGAAATGATAGGCTACAGCATGCACCGCCGTATTTGTGTGTGCAATTGAAGAGCATGCACTACGAGCCCAGTATAACATGACAGGAAAATTAGTTTTTACTGACGCATGGCCTGACAACATCTCAGTTCAGTTGTTCTGCTGAAGCTCCTCGACACCTGTACCATTTGACTCGCACCTGGCGCCGAGGTGAAGTGGAGTGCGTGTCTAAAAGTGTCTCGTTTGATAAATAAATAAAAATAAATAAATGCAATTCTTGTCAAGAAAAAAAAGAGACTGTTAAACTGGAAAAATTAATGCATTAATGCAGATTAACACGCTAAGCACTGATAAGAACTTTAATAATAGTGACCAGACACAAAATTAAAAACGTTGGACAGTTTATCTTTTTATTACCGTATGTTGGGTGATCTTTTAAAAGCGGTGTGGAGTACAACATCTGTTAGTGCATATGTCTGCTT